GCAATTCTTACACTCTGATGTCTTTAAGGAAGTCTAACCCTGCAACTAAAGGTCTTATTTTTCCCAGGCAGGTAAAAGATCATGTAATTTCCTACTGAGATCCTGAATCATCATGTTTCATGTTTATTATAGAAGTGCCTAGGAAACACAGAAAAGTAAATGGCCCCTGCCCTGAAGAGCTTACATCTAAATAAAACAGGACAGGCAATGGGGCTTGGCACGACTCCTTCATTCCAGCACTCATTCAATCAGGCCCTCAAGCTAAAAATTTAAGAGCAACTGGTGGATTTTATGCGCCCAACTTCAGATCCCTTGAAGGGCACTCCCCATTTCCAACTAGCAAGGAGCAGTCCTATTCTAAGTATTAGGCCCATTTTGGATCTCTGTAGTTGGGCACCAAAAAAAAAAAAGAGGTATCCCAAACCACCCACAAGTCAGTTATGAAAAAATCAGCCTAAACTTCAAGCCTGTACTATTATATTTCCCTACCTTCATCCCCCATCAATTAAATATTAAAGAGAAAGCGGCAGAGGAAATGTCAAACCTTTTCCAGTCTTTCAACCGCTTCTCACAAGACTTCTGCTGCCTCCATTTTATCAATGATCGTCATCATCATTAATAATGATCAGATTAAGCTCTGTGTAGAGGCACTTCTCAAATTAATTCTAGCCAGGAATAGTAACAATGCAACCATAGGTAGATTTGGATCGAATCCCTAAATGACTTTGTGAACCTGTGTTACAGCAGCGTGGCTCTTGGCAGCACAGAAAAAACCCTGCTTGACTTTGTTGGAGTAATTTTATTAACTCTGGCTGGTGCTGTTAGCTGACAAAGTGACAGAATCCCGAGGAAAATTCCTGTGCGTGTTTAGTATATCTTTGGCAGGTGTCAAGGTACATTCTCTGGTTTGTCACTCACTGCAGTGCCCTTTAGATAGTTATTATTTCATGTAATTATGATTATTACATGCTGATATGCCACCCTTATGAATAGCCTCTGGTTGCTGTCACTCACTGGAATTTGATGCGTAAGGATGAGTTGTCAGAAAGGAACTGGAGGGTATGAAATCGCTGCATTTCGCTATTAAAATAAAATAAATTATAAAATAAAATAAAGCTAACCCTTTTTGCTGGCCATCCCATTACATTCACAGAATGTGCTCACGGAAACAGAACCATTTGGAAGGATGGAGAGAATAATTTGCTATGAAGCTTCCATGCTGGCGTTGTGCTGTCACAGCAGGCACACCAGACATTAAACAGTCTAAAAATAAACAGCAACATGAAGTCACCGCGAGGAGGGAGAATAATAACCCTGTATTGTCCTGTGCACTAGCTCTGCATTGTGTCTCCTGTACAGCATTTTTTTCCAGAAAGATTTTTCCTCCTACCGAGTGGCAGGATTACTTTACTTCTAAATACCTTTCAGGTTACACTGCATCTTCCGCTTCGCATGCAGCGGGTGTTGGCAATACACACTGGCCCAAAAGGCACAGCAGGCAAGTACAAGCAAAGGGAAAGGCTTCAAGCATGCACAGGCACTTTATGGGAACCACCCTGTGAATGGTGTACTGGATCTTGACATTTCCCTAAAACTCACATCTCCAGCTGTCTGGGTTTCAAACAAAAATCTTAATCAGGCTCCAGAGAATCCATTAATTATGCAGCTTTGGTAATGTACTGAAACCAGCCAGAGTTAATGGATAAGAGAGCTTTTCCCTTCTCAGTTCTGTAAAAGTGAGGAGTTTGGTTTGGGGGTAGGGAGAGTTGTATTTCTTGTGGGTCTATATAGTAGTTGTAGTAACTGCCAGTAATCCAAGCCGGCAATAGCTCTGGAGCTATTTTACCAAGGCAGAGAGGATGGACTGAAGACTCAAGTGGCATGGGGTCTTTTCCAAACTCTGCTACAGACTCTGTGCCTTATCTGCCAAATGGAGAACATCACTTCCATTTGTCTGCTTAAATTATAAAATCTTTTCGAACAAGAGCTGTTTTTATCGTGTGTGTCAAGCATGCAGCACCACAGCCCGTGATCCTGGGGGAGACATCTAGGAGTTATTGCAATATAAATTATAAATAGTAAATTAATTTCTTCAATGGATCACAGATGCCTAATATGTCACACAGTGTACAGATTCCAGAAAGAGATGTTCAAAATTACAAACAGATCAATATCCATAAATAATCTTCCCATAACAGGATCGTGGTCTTGGTCAGTAAATGACGCATGGCTAACTCATTGTGATGATTCAATATGCAAAACAGGACTTGATTTTATTGGACACGTGGGTCACCTGGTATGTTTTTGCTCCCTAACTGGATTAACATAACTGCTCGAATCAGGTTTCCAGTGCAAAAACTTATTGTTCTAACTTCATATATTACTTTGAGGGGAATATTCTACAATATTTGCTCTTCCAATTCCTGCCTACAAACTCACTTGATAAGTCACTCGCAAAAAGGGTCACAAAGGGAATTAGGTTAAAAATTCAAATGAATATTAAGGAAAATGTTTTAGAGCAGTTGCCAGGCTCTACCTCTGACCTAACCCAAATGAAATCCCCCCTTCTCAGCTTCAGCCATTCCTAGCAAGGGACATGAAGAATGGATAGGCCTGCACTGTATAACGTACGTGAAAAATTCATGTCTTATACATGTATAGTATGTTGCCTTGTACAACGTGATTGCCATGAGCTTATTGCCTTCCAGAAGAATGATGAAGGGCACCCTCAGTACACTCTAGAGAGAAGGCCTATACAGAGAGAAATGATTTCACCTACCACTGAAATGCAGCAACTGCATAACAACATTGCTTAACAGCATTGAAGGGGTGAAGTGGAAACACAGTTGGAAATGTAGAGAGAATTTAAATAAGCAAAATGTAATTATCCAACCTGGAATCCAGCCAGGACGCAGTTCCCTTTGCAAGAGTCTTGGGATCTTTAATGATCACAGAGTCCAGGTTTCCAGGGGAAGCAGGCCTGCTTGCTTGAAGGACCAGGTTTTCAGCAAATGCTAATCGCCGACTTGTTAGCTTAGACCAATGAGGGTTTAGCCTGGCTCAGGATGCCTTAAGTGACCAAGAAGCAAAACTTCACTCAAGAGGGTCCTATGTTAAGACTTTAATATAACCTTGTCAAAAGTTGACTAATAGATTTGGGGTACCCGACTGCATCTGGCTAGAAGAAATGAACTTGGTTTCTGAGATGAAATGTATTTAACTGCACCAACCACAAAAAAATGATGATACTGGTAGAGATCTTAGTGGCCCGCTCTCATTCAGACTGAGCCACCTGACGCTTAGCCAGAGGACGCAGCACAGCATACACTTACTGCTAGACTAAGTACCATTTTTCTGGAAGTCCAGCATGCTGAGCACAATGGAAAGGTGCCTCTGTTTTTCGCACAGCTGCTGTTAACAAATTTTAAACAGGGTAGACGGGTGAAAAACTCAAATGGACCCTTGGGTCATTCCCACCAATGTGAGAGGTTTATTGATTAATTGACAAAACAAGATTAATAGCGAAGCATAATCTTATGGAATGGGTCTCAACTACTGTGAAGTGAAGCTGGCCAGGCTTTCAGTTTTCATCAGCAGGGGTCCTCCCGATGGTTCGGCAGATATCGCATAGATGGCCAAGTTCTGAATGCAATCCCTTTTTATACCCTTTCTTGATCACGATCTTTCTACATGCTCTGGCGTGGTCCTAACCAATCAAATGCCAAATTATCATCTTAGTCCTGTGGCTTTTTGTTACTGTTTTCTGCAGATGTGGATTCATGTTTTCTCAGCCTGTTAAGTTTTATTCAGACCTGGATTCCAGGTTGGATAATCACATTTTGCTTATTTAAATTCTCTCTACATTTCCAACTGTGTTTCCACGTCACCCCTTCTACTCCACCCCACCACCTCATCCACTTCAGCACATTAGGGGCAGCTCCTCTCTCATTTCCAGTTTCAGCCATGTGTGCTGGAGGGTCCCACGGTCTTGCAGCTGCCTAATCCCCTGTCCATAAGTTTTAGTCACATATACTGGTGTCAGTCGGATTTTGCTGATTTTACACTGCTCACAAATGGAAGAGTATCTAAGAAGGAACCTAGTCAGAGAGGAATCCTTTTCCCCCAGTCAAGCCCACATTTGGATTTACAAAGAAACCCCAATTGCCTGTATATGACAGTACAAGAGACTTGCTGTCTGGGCAGAATTTGCTGGAGCTGGCTGATTCAGTGAAATCATTAGATGGCAGGCCACAGGTAAGACAGCATCTCATCAGGGAGTTTGGAGAGCAGAAAGAGTTTACATGTTACCTTGCCTGCCTGTTTTAATATTTCCTACAACAAGATCTTATTCAAGTTTCCAGAGTCCTTGACTTTATCATTAAACATACTCTTCCTTCACTGTTGTCAGCATTGCCTGAACCTACACAGCAGTCACCGTTCCCCTGGTACCCAGAACCACCACTAGCCATAGCAAATGCCGTAAAGAAAAAGAAATCACCAGCTGCATTGCAGTTTAAGATTTGCCCTGAGCCTGATTTTTCAGCTTTCAGACGGTTTCTGACCTTAGAAATGAGAAACTGCTGCTACAGATAACACAACGGGGAAATTACTCAGGTTAAAGCCAGGGACAGGATCTCTGTGTGTAGGCACATCTAACATTATGCAAAGGGGAAAGGGAACATTCAATGGTAGACGTGGGCCATGCAGGGAACAATTCAGGGCCCACAACTTTGGGTAGAGCCACTTTGTTCACAATCCAGCCCCCATGAGCCCTTCATGCACCGTGGGTTTAGCCAACTTAGTGACCCAACGTTACCTTAAAAGACGGTAGTCCCCCACCCGGCGCCACCACTTTTTATGGGAAATGAAATCCTTCTTTTCCCCCTCGCCTGATAGTCTTTTGCTAGTGAATTAAATCCTTTTCTCTCCCTTTCATAATGAGCATTGAGTCACTCAAATTTACAAACCCTTCCCACCTCCAGATGTGCTGCAAGGATTACCTAAGCTCGCTGGAGGCTCGGCACACCTCACTTTGCATCGGGCTTCCAGCTCCTAGGGCCACTCCGTGCCTCTGTGTTTATTTCCCGGAGCCACGGGAGAATTCCAGTTCCACTTCAGTAGCAGCGAAATCAGCTCTGCTCTGTGGGGGCAAGACGGATTTATAATTAAATCCACTATTGAGATATTCACATTCTGTTCCCCTGCCATTTAAGCATACATAAAACATTTTATTATTCTGCTGATTTAGGAACCTGAATTTAAATATTAGAGTATTAAAGTGATACTTAATTAGTTGACTGAATGTTCTCCTTTTATCAGTGTTGACAGATCTTAATTATAGCCAGGACTGCGAAGGATGATAGAACAGCTGATGGCAGCAGTACCTCCAGGAATACTAAAGTGTGTCAGAATTGCTAGTCTGGTTTCCCTTTTCTTTCTTGCTCTGTTCTTCAGACATTTTCTGAAGTCCTTGGCAAGTGAAGACAATGCCTCAGCCAAGTCTGAACAATCTGGCAGTTACTCTCAAGGACATTAGGGTCTGGTAACCCTTGAGGGGGTGGAAGCCATGATAATCTGTAAACCTAGAGTTTAAAAAATAAATAAAAGCTCATGACAGGGAGTGTTTCCCTGCTAATTATTTTCCTTTTGATTAATTAGGAAAATAGGCGGAAAGAGATACATTTTTCAAAAGTTCATCAGTGATTTAGGAGCTTAAGACCCAATGAGACTTAGCTAAGGATTTCATAGCTGCTGCCCTGCTGCATCCACGGTCACTCAGAGGTCCTCAATGGAAATGAAAGTCACGTTGTCCTGCTCCACAGACTTGGGCCAATATCAGCCAAATAGAAGGAAAATCGTATTGTCTGGAAGCAATATAATGCCAGTGACACATAGTGAGGCTGTTAAGGTCAGTCATCATAACACACATGTATTCAGTTGATTCCTATAGTCATGTTTTGCAGAGTGGTGCAGAACTGGGTTTCTGCACTGGGAGGTCTCTACAATGGTGCAATGCTTCTCATGGTAACATCCCTCTCACCTGCCTCCGATAATGATACAACTTTTACCTTCAGGAGAACAAGAAGGCATAGACCAGACAGAAGTAGAGCTCAGGAACATTTGCTCTACATGGCTCTTGTTGCAAATATCACATGCATGCACACACAGAGCAGGAAGCTTAGTGAGTACTGCTCTCACGTGCTTCTGGGGCCAGGGGCCACACTTGAGAGAGGACAACAGTGGGAGAGGTCCACAGTATATTTTCCTGAGCACCTAGGGAGTTTGGGACATGGATGCCTGACCTATGCAGGCAATTGGTGCCTTACACCCTAAATGCACCCTGAAGAAGGCCAAAAAATAGCACAAGATTTGCTATTTGCACAAGATTCTTCTCCCTAACCCCATTTGGGGAACCTGTGGCTTTACATGGACCTTGATTTCCGACAAAGGTCTCAAAAAGACAACCCGTCTTACAAAAGAGGCACACAGCCAAGGGCACTGGCCAGCATCACTCCTGGTGGAGAGGATTTTGCCCTCATTATCTGAGAAGACAGCACCCAGGCATCACAGAAGATATCCACTTGGGATGCCATATTTTTCATGCTGTCAGCTCCCTTCACTATCCCTGCACTCGCACACAAAATTAACTCCTCTCTCTCGCCCTCAAGCCCTTGTCATCAATAAGATGCTCACTCCATTACCTCCCTGTGCTGTTCCCAGGAGTGAGTGCTGTCTGAAATTCCTGTGTCTGATCTACTTTTGGAAAGTCTGTAGCCACAGACTTCCAAGAGGAACGCGGTAGCTCACCAAGCAATCAGTCCTTCAGTCAGACATACAGCGCTCTCTGCTCCACGTGGAGCACAAGGCAATGACCAGCCATCTTCAGGTATCAAAGAACTCAATAAAGTCATCGCTTGTGACAATGATGGCCAACCAGCGGCAAGGGTGCCACAAGTGGCACAGGCAGGCTCTGCATATGGCATGTGGCAGACTGGGGAGGGAACACGCAGCACAGCAGCATGTAGGGCAGGGAGCAGAAAGCAAAGCAGCAAAGCAGGCAGGGAATGCAGGGAAGGAAGCAGAAAGCAGAGTAGCAGATCAGGCAGGGGAAGGTAATTGGAGTATAACTTGGGGAAGGCACAGGGTTGACTTGTGGTATGCCTAGCAAAAGGTTGGTTCCCCCTGGTTAATGATGTGTCGCTAAGAAAGCCCAGGCCACCCTTGTTTTCTTTCCCCAGTGGATCTCCAAGCCAGGACTCATTGCAAACAGCAAACCAAGCCTGCGCACAAGTTCACCCAAGGATTCAAGGTCTGAAGTATTTCTGCAGTCTACTATTTTTACTGGAGTTGCACTCCAGGAGAATTGGGGTGCACAGAGAGCACTTGCCTTTGCTTTTGGGTGACACTGGGCACTTCTACATGAGATGTTTACTGTGGAGCTGCCTAATTAGCTCCACAGTAAAACCTCAGCGTCTACACAGAGGGCGGTAAACTAACTAACTCCAGCACAGGTTAGTACTTGCAAATGCAAGTACTAACCTACAGCAGTGATCTTTAGCTCACAGCAGTGCACATGTAGACACAGACAGGACTGGCCGTGGCACGAGGGTGTTCAGTGCAGGGACCGCCTGCTGACTGCCCTCACGCCCCAGCCAGCCCTTCTGCAACATAGTGAGCCGGGTTAGAGCAGCCTCGGGCCGGCAAGCTGACCTCTGTGGTCCCCTGCCAGCCAGGGCGGCTCCAACCCAGCTCAGTGTGCTATGGTCCTGAGCACACATGTAAACACAGTGCCCAGGAGTTTATTACATCACATAAATTGCACACACAAATTGCACATCACATTAATTAACATCACATAATTGCACATGCATGCCCACTGACATGCAACTTTTTTTCTTTTACATGAAGAGATAAAACACATATTGATATTGCAAACCCTATTCTATAAATACTTGTCTGGGTCCAGGCCTGAGAGAGAATGGAGAGCCAGGCACTATATTTTGGGAATGGCTAGTAACACTTCCATCTACCCCCTGACATTTTAATGTGGTTGTCAACCCTGAAGCATTGGGTTCTATGACCCACAGACTGGTTAGTGGCCAAAAAATCCCCCAAAAGTCATTCGAAGACAGCAATCAGATGATGAGGAGCCATCAGTAGCAAGCAAGAGGATTATAGCATTAGCGCATCTTGTACAGCATGGAAGTCAAGCTTATAAAACACAGGATCGTCTAGACATGTATGGGCATAAGCGTATTCATATTTGATCCCATTAAAAAGGTAAGACACAAGAACACGCTTGTTATCAGGACAGTTTAAGTCAGTGCAAAAAGTAAAAGGTACAGTCAAGGAAAAAGGAATAAATGCAGGGTGACGTTTATGGATTCTGCCCTGTACAATGAATGGGATGTAGCTGCCCTGCCTCAGGAGCACCGCAGGGAAGAGACGAGTGCTTTAAAGAGGCATCCTTCCTTCCCTGCTCCTTCCTG